TTCAACAGAACAAAATATGTGGTGCATTTAGGAAGTCGGTCCTCTTGTGCATGCTGCCACTGTTAAGGTCATCAGACTCTCAGTGACTTTCAGCAATCCATTCTATAGGTAATCGTCTTTGGCCTGTCCAAGGAAACCCAAACCTGCAGATGGCGGGCATGCATCCCATCCCCCACGTCCTATGCAGGTGGCCAGCGGGGCGCACGCCCCCCCACCCAGCGCGGGAGGCGTGCAGCTCCCCCCAGCACGGGTGGTCATTGGGGGCGCACCCCTCCCACCCTGCTGCACGGGCGCTCAGCTGGTGTGCGGCCCCTCTTGTGCGTGTGGCCGGTGGGCGCCTGCTTCCCCCACAGCTGCCATCCTGGCTCCAAGAATTCTCTCCAGACCAAGTCCACCTTGCGGCAGTGTGGTGGCTTCGCTGTACCAGTCTTGAGGAGGGCCAGTGCCCAGCATCCATCCTGGGTAAGGGAATCCATTGGTTCCGGCTGTGGAAGCCTTATGGAGCTGCAGCAGCTGTGTGGCGCAGCGTGGGCTCTGCAAGGGGTGGGGGTTGGGAGCCATAAGACTCACCCATTTCTCCTTGGGAATCCTTGAATTCCTGTTGTTGAGCCTCGATCTTCACTGAGGGCCAGTCATCTACTATTTAAGTGTTCAATTATCAATAAGCTGAAATCTGTGAAAGGCCATAATGGCCCTGCTTTAAGTGGTTCGCTGCTCCCGCAGCTCACCACACTGTCTCTGCCTCTGCTGCCATCTTGGATCTCCGCTATCTATCTTTAAAGAAGTATTCCTTTAATGAAGTTGGAAGGTGGGGTGTGGAAATGTTTATATTACTCAGTGTTGGATTCCACAGTAAGCAAGATAAGCATAGTTTACTTGTGCTTGCTTATTAACTTTTTCACTTCTAAGATTTTGATTCTATAGACAGAGCTGGCATCTGTTTGTCTCCAGCCCTACAGCGCATTCCTATAGAATCTCTGACAGGGAAGGAGAATCCAGTAAACTAGGTGATCAGGGGCTTACTTATGCCTGCATTAAGTGTAACAGAGAGGCATTTTGGTTAGAGTCTGTTTCTGGTAACACAGAGACGTTTAACTTTGGATAGAGTCTGTGTCTGGTTCATAATATCAGCATGGCATTGTTTGTTGTTACGTGTCATTGATAGAAAGTGGCACTGATTCAAAATGACCAAACCTGTGAACAACAGAATAAAACCTTGCCCAATCCCATGCCATCCTCACAATCTGCTGTGTCTTAAGCCCTTTGTGGCAATCACTGTGTCCATCATCTTACTGAGTATGTGTTCCCTCTTTTGCTGACCCTAAACTTCTCCAAGCATGATGTTCTATCCCAGGGGCTAGCCCCTCCTCATAATGTGTTCAAAATACGTGAGACAAAGTCTCACCACCCTCACTTCTAAGAAGCACTCTGGCATTATTTTAAGCAAAAAAGAAAAGCCATACTCGCCTCCTTTCCTGCACCACAGATTATAAAGTTTATTTGGCAGATACCACCTTTCTCCCAGAAAATAAGTACTTTCTACGGAGGAGAAGAGACACACAGGCTGCTAGTTTTTGAAAGCCTTTTTATCTTTCTCTGTTAGCATTGGCTGATACACCTGAGAGTGTGTTAATTGGTTTTAATCAGATGTCATCTCACATATTCAGTGTCAGAGCAGAGCCTGACATATGGTAGGCTCTCAGTATCCATTTGGTTTTTACTTAATTGTGGTCTCTCAGGGAACTCTGGTGGCCTGGTGGTAAGGAGCTACACTGCCAACTTGAAGGCAGATGAATCAGATCCACCATCTGCTCCATGGAAGAAAATTGGGCAGTCTCCTCTCATGCAATTTACTGCCTCTGAAAACCCATTGGAAGGTCAGCTATGGCTCTGTTCTCACTCAGCAGTATACAACAAAAATTAGGATCATGACTGCTTAGGGATGTTTGTTGTTACTGCTTAGTAATGACCGTGGTTGTTACTGCTTAGTAATGACCGTGGCATTTAAGAAGCGCTGCCTTACATAATATGATCCTAAAGCCTTGTTGAAGATGGTTAAGTCTTTAGAAGAGCCCGTAGCAGTGAATATAGAGATGGTTGCTCAGGAGGAAGAATTACATGCTGGTTAGCCACGTGGCTGTGTGCAGTTGGAGATTCTGGACACCAGTCCTGGCTTTACCCCATGCTAAATGGTCTCAGACAGGTGACTTACTCTCTTTCTAGGCTTTAATTTTTCTCATTTCTAAAAATGGCAATGCTAATAATACTTTCCTCCCAGAGTTACTCTAATGATTAAAGGAGATTGTGCTAAAAGCACTTAGCACACAGTCAGTACTCAGTAAAAAAAAAATCCTTCCAAAGTGATCTCAAGCTGTGAGTTTTTGGTAAGGTTACTGTAACAGTTCCAAACAGAAATATTTTCTGTGTGTTAGTATTCTGGAGACTGTTGATGGTAAGAGACTGAATATAAAATTGAATTTTTAATCTTTTCCTAGGACTACCAGGTGTAAATGCAGAATTTGAATACTGCTATGCCTCACATTCTCTTTATTCCCCCCCCCCCCCCCTTCTTTTTTCCCCCCCCCCCCCAATTCTCTTTAGACTCCAATTATGCCATCGGGTTGGAATATTCTAAGAATTGTAAACTGTGGGAGCTCTGGTGGCCTAGTGGCAAGAAGCTGCACTGCAATCCCAGACGTGCACAGTTCGAACCCCCCAGATGAAATGCTGGAGAAGGAAGGACAATCTCCTCCTGTACCAATCAGATCGGATTTGATGGTACACACACAAAAAATAAGAAAAGAAAAAAAAATAATTGTAAATTGCATGGGAGGAGATTGCCCGCTTTTCTCCTGCAGAGCTGCTGGTTATTCAAACCGTTAGAAATGTGTGGCCTTTGAGTTAGCAGTGCAACTTCTTACAGACTCTGCCATCCGAGCTCCCCTACAATAATATGTGGTACTCCTAGGATTAAGTAAATTGTAATACTGCTAATCTTAATTATATTCCCTTGGGGAAAGGTTATAATCTTAATATTCTTACTTCTTTTTCAGTTTTACACAAGCAGTTGAGCTCAAGGAAAGGGGAAAGAAAGGCAAAGCAGTTCATTTTACTGAAACTGATGGTCCAGCTTCTGACAGGTAACTGGACTCCCTAGTCGTACCAGTGTTGTTGAGTGTAATGCTCTGAAAAATGCCTTACGTCTCTACATAACTCAAGAAAACATCATTCCCATCCCGTCATCCTAGGTTTGATGCATATTCCCATCAAGGACAGAACACTATCTCAGATCCTGAAGAGTTAAATTCCCTACAAGTATAAATTGCTGTTATTTGAAAATAAGCAAATTTTCAAATTTTTAAAAAGTCTGAAAATAGTGGTTACACCATGAATGATGGTTTACATTATCTGTTTTGAGTAAAATTGGTATTTACATTTTATGTCAATGTACATTTTTCCTGCCCTTAGCATAATTGTTTAAAGATAAAAAAATAATAATAATAAACAATGTTTAATGAAATGTATTCTGAAATGATCTTTCAGTAAAAGAAACCCACCCCTGACACTTAGTCCTTCATGTCATTGCTGATGGCCACCCAGTAGATTTTTTTTCTCTAGAATTATATTTTATTAATTTTCATAAACATTT